TCGACGATGGGTAGATAGTGGCGCAAAGCACCCAATCGGACATCATTCTAACATCCATCTATCTCTGGACAATTTTAGACAGCACGAAACTTAATCTCGCAGAATGCAAAGTCGTGCAATCGCATTTTGGTGGAACCAATCCACATGATGAATTTTTATAGACCATCTCCAGTTCCATCCCCATCTCCAGGAAATGTGACAGCACCAAAGGCTCCGGGAAAATAAGTCCATATATAACCTTAAAGAAATTACGCCACCGTATATAATACTAGCATATTCTCATAAAATATAAATTGGGGAAAAGCAGTTGTTTTGTTTACTTATATCGTCGTTCGATGTAAACAATCACTCACGACTTATACGCTGCAATGTAAAGTTGCCAAAATTCTTTTTGTATGTTCAACTATTATAAAAGCAATCTTATCTGCTAATGGTTTGAGAATATATAGCTCCGCTATAGTATTTGCTTATTATGGTAAAATATACAACGAACGTTGCAAAAACATACACCTCATAAAATTAATGGTTCGTTCACAATAAATAGATAAAGCACGTGCAGAATTCAATATCTAGCGTTAAACCAGACTATAGCAAAACCATCGATATTCCACGCTACTACGTTTAAAACCCATTTGAGGCTGTGAAGACCCCGTATTAATGTCCCGTGGGTACAAAATAGCTGATTCCTGACAATTATGGCCCTGCTCGGGACTCTTGTCCAACCGTTCAAGTCCAAGATAAAGGTTAAATCGTCGTCACGACAAATTGAAACAATCCAAATACATTGCGTGAAATTAAGAATTGAGTTTAAATTGAACTAGCCGTGACAGATATGATGAAGTAGGCTACTATCCCGCTTTTATACCGTATCGCCGTTTTTATATTGCCTGGAGATAACATGTTTTTTTCTCTTCAAATGTCAGTGTTTGCAATACATTTATGCAATAAACCACTATCTATCTAGTTATCTATCTAGCTGACGGACGTTGCCGTATTACGCCGCGTCACACGTCCTTCATTTTACACGCATGCGGGCGCATCAACACACAAAACGCATTCAAGACACATGTACATGCGCAGACGCGCATATACGATCAGACACGCACAGCTCAATGTTTGCGCATGTAGCACGCACGCACGCACGCACGCACGCATGTTTTTTTTTCTTCAAATGTCAGTGTTTGCAATACATTTATGCAATAAACCACTATCTATCTAGTTATCTATCTAGCTGACGGACGTTGCCGTATTACGCCGCGTCACACGGCCTTCATTTTACACGCATGCGGGCGCATCAACACACGAAACGCATGCAAGACACATGTACATGCGCAGACGCGCATATACAATCAGACACGCACAGCTCAATGTTTGCGCATGTAGCACGCACGCACGCACGCACGCACGCACGCACTCACACGTAACCGCGTGTGATCCACCAATTTCTATATAATGAGGAGCGGCGGTCAAATGGGGCTCTTCTCTCACAGACGAGCGCGACTGCCGGCGCGTAGGGTTAGACTCCTTCTTGTCTCCTATACGCAACCAATCACTCGCAAGCGGGCGAGCGCTTTACCGTGAGTACGCGACTAACCACGCGCACGTGCGGCCGCTTTCATAATCACCCGTACACCGACATCACAGAAATTTCTTTCGCTAGTCACCGCAATCGTTCGTCCCGACAAAAGAAGTGGAAAGCGTGACTAGCGAATTTCAGTTTTGAGATTCTCCGCAGTCCGGCTCTGAAAGCTTCAAAGCTTCAATGACCACCAGCAACGCATGCGCTTTATTTAAATTCCATTGCGATTCAACACAGAATACAAAACGCTAACACTATGGGTGGGTTGTGGGAAGGCAAATCAATACAAAACTCATTTTAGCTTACATAAATAATATATTTATATAAGGTTCACGAGATTGCTCATAATTAGGTTACATTACGTATAGTATAATCATGTATGGAAAACTCGAAAACGACAGACACTCCATTGATTACGGCTGTATTTAGACACACCAACATTTTGAAATCGTAACTAAATTACGAACATTACCGTTCAACATAATAAGGAAGAACCACTAAAAGTGTTTCGAACATATTCACGGGCAGCCGCTAAAAGACGCAAATGTACTAATTTGCTATAGCGTGTACGTGCTGCATACAGCCTAGCTAACTATGACCTCTCTTCTCGTGATGCAGTGATTTTTTTACATTTCATCACTCTAGGTACGTGCGCGGACGCACGCATGCACGCACTACATAGGTACACGACGAAATCTGCATGAAGATGCACCCTCGCGTCATAACGTTTTGGCGCTCCAGCAAGTTCCGCCAGCGGGCCGTATTAGTCACCACTACGGAGAGGAAATTCCTTTGTTGCGCGTGCTTTTCTGATCGCTATTGGTAATGATCGAGCGTCACATTTAAATTAATTCTTTTAATGACTGTCGCTAACCGGCCAAAATGGTTCACGACTCGCTTTATCTCGCGTCGCAGAACACAATGGGTGCGGAGCAGCAGGCCTCAATAGTTGGGCGAGACACGGACCGTGCGCATATACGCGTCGGTTAACACGTGCGATATAGTAGTCTTTATTATCCGTCTACTTTTCCGCATAAAGAGCGAGAAGGGGAGAAAATTGGGGAAGAAAAGAGAGAGAGAGAGGGAGAGAGAAAGAGACATAAGGCAGAGAGCGAGCGAGAGAGGAGGGTGGACAGAGGGAGAGAGAGGAGGAGATAGAGAGAGCAAGAAGAAGAAGAAGAAGAAGAGAGAAGAGAGAGAGAGAGAGAGAGAGAGGAGAGAGAGAGAGAGAGAGAGAGAGAACAAGTGAGCAAGAGAGCGAGAGAGAGAGAGAGAGAGAGAGAGAGAGAGAGAGAGAGAGAGAGAAGAGAGAGAGGAGAGAGAGAAAGATCGAGGGCGAGAGAGAAAGACAGAGAGAGAGAGAGGAGAAGAGAGAGAGAAGAGAGAGAGAAAGAGAGAGAGAGAGAGAGAGAGAGAGAGAGAGAGAGAGAGAGAGAGAGAGAGAGAGAGAGAGAGAGAGAGAGAACATGAAAAACATCTGCTTTTACGGCCATCACAACTTTCCATTTACCATTCATGACAGCGCTGTGGCGGCGTACGATAAATAAATAATTGCATTAGGCAAGTAGTTTGTTAAATACTCTTTCACCCAATTGTTTACTAGCAGCGTCGCCAACAACGTCCCTGTTTTTTTCCCGCGCATTTAACGAATTAAATTTACATGTGACGTCGGAGGTCGACGCGATTTGCAATTGCCGCCAACAGTGCCGCCTGCTGCATTAGATCAGGGATGTTCGCATCATTATTCACACATCGCACGCCCGGCGTAGATGTACACCCTGGTAACTAGAAATGGTAGGGAAATGTGGTAGGTTGGGGAGCTCTGCATAGGCATGCCTACGGGCACGAAGTGCGTTCGATGCAGCGCGCGTGGCAATGCACAATGTTAATCCATTCATACTCGCGTTTGGTGATGGCGAGAAAAGCTTTCGGCTCAACACTAATCCTCTGATACATCGCAATTTCCCACGCTAGCACCAAGCGCACGGCGAAGAGATTTTCAGCAACATCGGCGCTGACCTTCGTAACGCGAATGACAAGAGAGTTCTGCACCATGCTTGCCCACCAGCCCTCTCCGACCACTCCTCAGCTGCTTCCCACAGGCGCGTGGGACTGCTGCCACCTTGGCCACCGTTGACAGCAACATTGGGTAATGGAAGTATTCACTTAATTGCCCAACTATACAGCAATACCCTTCAGTCACAAGAAATCATGGCTTCTCATTAGAGCACTACACAAAGTCCCCAGCCCCAAACACATTACACCACATCCCCCCACACACATGCAGGCCTACGACACCAACTTCGCCTGCTAGCGTAATAGCGCGCTGGCTAAATGTTAACAGATATTTTTATTGAAGCAATCGCTCGGGTTCTTTGCTGCATGTTCACGCATGGCTCATACATCAATGCACATGCACGAGATGATCAATTATCAATGCACAGCGCTAGTAACGGGGTTTTACGCGTTGACGAAATAAACCGCTTCTACGCATCATCGGCTTTTATAAAGAATTTTTTTAAGCAGTGCACTAAAATGATGAGTCCCACACATAAAGGAGAGACCGATAACAGTCTGTACTGCTGCCGTCACTACTGCGTGATCATGGAAGTCGAATTAATCGTGTACTCGTGTACAGTCAAACACGCACAGCACACTTGCTGCCTCATAGAGGGGGCTAGTGTACCATTGGCATTGACAGGCCGCTTGACAGGGCCACCAGCAGCTAAGTGCTACTGAATAAGAACGTCACGCACCATTTGAGCATTGTATTGACGGTTGCTCCTACTGTAACAACACTGGAAGTCCAAATTTTAATCAAACATGATTCATTTCTACGGCAGAAATTTTCTATAAATACTACGTTTCTTTCGTACTGAACCACACTGCATGAACGTACACAATTTATCCTGGATACACCCTATGGGTTCGCGCTAGCTCAGTATATCCGCTCACAACCAAGCACATACCCATCAGTCATCTCCTTACAGCGCCAGCTAAGGAACGCATCTACAGCAATACACTAGACTCCATGAAGCTGACAAAAACATAGAAGTGTTTCTAGACTTTCTATAGATGTATAAAGAATATAAGTATCACGGCTACAATATGAAGCTACTGTCAGCCACTGGGAACGCCTTCCCGGTTCCTTCCTCTATACATCATAAATATAATACCGAATTGGATCGGTTCGTGATTCTGCATATCTTGAATGCGCGCGATGAGATGAAGCGCATGCGAGCAAAGCATGATTGCGTAGATCTTTCAACGTCGCGCAACCGCTCCGGAGAACAAACACAACGCGTGTACGTGCTGTACGTCCGAGAGTGGCAACAAGAGACATGATTGCACGGACCGCGCTCGACACAGGAAATGCTCGCCGACGACATCAAAAGGCTGTCGCTGCGGCGGCGGCGGCGGCGGCGGCGGCCTGCGTGCCCGCCCGCCCCTGCACCCGTGGCCGTGGCAGCGCTACCGCTCCAGTACGCACACGACGTGCCGAGCATGAAATCAGAGAAAGCCCAATCCACGATGACTGATCGCGCAAGACACGGCCGCATCCATCAGATCGTCGGCGTTGTTCGAATGTCCCTGATCAATAGCCGCCAACTTTGGCAGTTGCGTTTCTTCGGCGTCAGCTTCTTGCATCGAACTGGCGACCTATTATGCAAATTCAACAAACGGCCAATTAGCAAATGACGCGCGGCACGCTCGCTGTCTCCTGTAAGAAATGGGAGACGCTCCGACATGTCCGAGTCTCGCTGTTCGCAATATACACGGCAATAAAGACTCGCCATAGGGCTCGCGAGCTTCTACGAAATTAACCAGATTTTGCTAACGTTTTCCCCCCGATCCGTATCATCGCCATAAACATCGGACGATTTTTTTTCTTAATAAAGAACGCAGTATGTTTACTAAAATAACGACCGTGTGTTTCATTGGAAAAAGGGATATTCCCTATAGGAAGTTAGTCGAGTTATTTGATCATTCAAATTCAATAAATATAAAGATGGAAGTTTTCTCTAAACCCCAGGGACTACTCTATTTCTCTTTCATCTGCAACTACGAATACTTATTCGAATTAACTAATCGCGGCGGCTATGGTAGGGAAGACTAGCTAAGAACGCTATGTTCATACCACGTGCACACACAAACCGCCGAACGTCAACCGAATCCGGGAAATTTCATAAACAGCCCTGTACACGTTCTCTCTAACAGTTACGATCAAGCTCGTCGAATCGGATGCACCCGTGGCGTGCGGCGCGTTGCGTACGAGACGACGTGTCGCTATGGGCGCGCGCGCTTCTTAGATCGCATAACGGCGGGCTTACGCACCAGTGGCGATGTCGGTCGTGGCATGGCGACGAGAGACGAGTCTGCATCCAGAGCCAGCTCTCCGGCGGCAGCCGTGCAGCAGCGGCGGAACATCAGGCCTCTGCAAACACAATCGCTCTGCTCAAGTACTCGATCTCAACAAGGAAGTTTCAATGCCACTGCAGCTCGACCGCCGACAAAAGTCGGTTGTGGTGATACGGGGGAGGGGGGAGAAGGAGAGAGAGAGAGAGAGAGAGAGAGAGAGAGAGAGAGAGAGAGAGAGAGAGAGAGAGAGAGAGAGAGAAGAGAGAGAGAGAGAAAAGAGAGAGACGAGACCGAAAGAGGAGGAGAGGAGAGACGCGCACGAGAGAGCGAGGGACGACGAGAAGCACGAGAGCGAGAGACTAGGAACGAGAGAAAGGAGAGAGAAGAGACAACCATGAAGGAAACTGTCTGCCTTTTTACCGCGCCCACTCCCACCCCACACTTGTGTGGGCGTCAAAGCACCGGGGTCGTTGTGGTATCCTAAGGTGCAGCTAACAGAGCGGAATTACCAATGTACGGCCGAGGGTACAGTATATGTATACCGCCACGAAGTGAGTAGTCCAGGACTTGTACCTACACGAAGGTACCCTACACG